ATAAACTACACATTCTTGTTTCTCTATTTCATAAACCAACACTGACTTAGTTTACCACATTAAATCAAAATAAAATACATTGAGGTTTGTGGTTCAAGAAGTATGAATACTTTTTGAGAGGACTGCAGCTCTCCAGTAATCAAGACACAATCATTAGAAAGTATTCTACACAAAAGACCAAACAGGAATGTGGTTCAGATTTGTAGATGTCCTCAAAGCTAACTGTCATAATACTATGTACCCATTTGTCAACTAATTTAAGTGAACTGTGTAGCAGATTCACTGCAGCATGGTCTGAAGAGTTAAGGAGACGCTGTCACCTTCATCTTCCCTACCCCAAAGTCTACTAAGGAGAGCAGAGCAAATATCTGATGAAACTCTCTCAGCCAGGGATCAGGGTTGTAGAAAACCCAGATTATGCCTTAGAGCCATATTATAAGCTTCCATCAGAAAGTTTAATTTAGAGAAATGCCTTCACCTGGAGTCCACAGCCAAACTAAAACCCAGGTGAAAAGTAAAGTTTGTGGACTTCACTGTATTCATGCTGCTAAAATAGGAAACTTTTTCTCTACATAAAAAATAAATCTCATTTCATGAGTCTGTCAATAAATAAATGAGTGTTCAAATGTCAAATTGTTATAAAAACAAAGAGATAATCTACAAATAATCATGTTGAAATGAGAATGAACCCACTGCAGAAACACAGCTTTGCTGGTTTCATCAATCTACCCAAGTTCTGTGTGTTGAATTAGGAATGGCTGGTGTAATTGCATAACACATGACTGGGGCCCTTGGGGTTAGATTTTCCATCTTACACAAAGTGGAGACAAGGAAATAGGAAATGCTTTTGGAATTGGGTGTAATTGTGACTGGCGGGGCCTGGGTTTGTGCTCAGCCTGACACTCGAGGTAGACTGGTGAAGTGCAGCATGGCCTAAAGGATGAAGGAGAATGGCATGCTGGCTTTAAATTAGCTCCTTTTTTGACGTTAGCGAAGACTCTTGTTGCGTCTCTGACAGGCTCTCTCTGGTACACGCTGCTCGTTTAAAGATGACAGGAGGTTAATCAAGCTTTAAAGAATGAGATTACAACCAACATGACAGGCAGGATTGAATAGATTTGGCACACTGACTGTTAAAACTGCTATGAAAATCTTCTTTTTACTAGTAGAAAACATGACATAAAAATGCTGTCAATCCCAGCAGATCAGGGAGGAAACACAAAAATGCTAAATGAAAGTGTATGAAAAAAGCTAGAGCATCTTTCCTTAAGATTTCAGTCAAGACCAACCCATCAAAAGCAACTTTAAGTGACATGTTTAGTCATGTAACCATCAATCATGAAGGAGTGTCACCAAACTTAAAAATCTGCCTTCTAAAGTTTAAAATATGTAGAAATATATCTGCACCCCATCTCATAACGCAAATGAAAATTAATTTACTTGTTGTATCTTTAAAAAAAAGGCAGATGGAGAAGGATTTTCTCCTCTCAACAATTCAGAGTAGAGCGTCCATGCAGCCCGATATCAGTAAACAGTGATCCTCAGATACTTAGTACATGCGGGTGGCTTTAAAATTGTTGTTCACTAGGAGGAAACCAAGTTTCCTGGGAAGAATCTGATGCAGTCCCCAACAGGAAATAAAACCACCAAATCTTATTTGTTGTCTCAAAAGAAAAAAACTAGAAAATGGGTCAAAGAAATACAGAGGTTTAGATAAAATATCTACTTCAAATCTGAAACAAAGGCAGGGTAGGCTTGTCATACTCTATAGCTCATATAGTCAGAGCAGAGGTGCTACACATCTGTCATGTATATAGATTTATTTATCACAATTGCAGACATTTAAAGATTTTCAGGGCACAGTAGTCACTGATTCAGCTATCAAACATTTCCCAGGTTTCTGAAAAGCACAGTAAATTACATTAAGAACTTGTGATTAAAATGAAAATATAGCTATGAACCTACCTAACTATAGTACTTTTAAATCAAAGTTACCTAACTTAAACATCAATCCTGAAAAAATAAAATAAAATTTGAAAAAAACTCCTAAATACAAACTATGCTGATTATACAGCTTCCCATGAGGAAATAGGTTCCAGTTGATAAGGTTACAAGAACAGGTTTAATTTAAACATCTGAACAAACTATAATGAGGCATATTTACAAGTCAGATTCTTTTGCAAAGCTCATTCGAGAAACTAATTATCTGGGAATAAGTTTCTTCCAACAGCTCTGTTTGCTGCATCATGCAGCTTTATAACAAATTAGCAACACTCAAATTTCTAAGGCAGAATTACAACGCATACAATGAATGAACAAACGTGGAATAATTTCAAGATATGGAAAAATATAATTTTGGAGAGCATAAATGACACTCAGACCTTTTTAAGTCCTATAAATCGATTCGATTAAAAAAAAATTGATGATTTGATTGAAATCATTCAACATTTTTAAAGAAACCCTGATTTCACAAGGGAAGTTAGAATTGTGAAAAAAGTTCAATGTTTAAATAAGCTTAAAAATTAGAGCAATAAAGATGGCTATAGTTATTGGTACATATTTAAACTCCAAGAAAACATATCTCTTGGACAAATCCAGTAGTTACTTTTCTAGTATTTAGATTGGAAAACTAGACTTTTATAAACTGGTTAAAGTTAATGGGTAGATGAAAGCAGAGTCCCAAAGAGCAGAGGGAGAAAGAGGAAAGTTAAAACCATCTGTTCTATCAATCGTTATTGGCAAACATCAGATTCGTAACTCCACAATCTCTCTGCCCGGTTTTATATGTGAACAGACAAGGATTTAAAGAGCAGCAGCAAAACCAAAAGCGATAGATTAGCAGAGTTTGCCATCACCTTAAATGGTCATCCTGGACATGCTACTGTCTTTACTTTCGATTATTTTTATGCAAGATGTTAAGAAACGCTTGTTCTGAGTGTCATGATTCAAGCATTAAGCCTTTCCACAGAACCTACAAAAGCCTTAATGATTTAGTCTTTTAGGAAATTAGAATAAAGTTATTTATTGAAAGGAACATGTCTGCTCTTTTTTCAAATGTTTCTATTTAAATTTGTGGAAATGTCCAAGCTAACTAAAAAATAAAATGAACTAAGCCCAACGTTCCCTTTCCGTCAGTTTTCTGACTCCTTCTCACAGTGAAACTCTTGAGTTTGAGGATGTCCCTTCATTCGGAGCCATTTAATCTGCCAAAGATGCCGTCATTTAAACCAGGGCATGTCTCATACAACAGCCATAGCCTTTGACAGACTTCAATGGTTGTGGAACACAGGATGTAACAGTTTTTGTCTGGGGATTTATGAACAACCACAACACTTTTCATTCAGTATTTCCAATGTAGACAGCTGAGGAATAAGGTTTCTGACTCCAGCCCAACTCTTAAGAGCTATTTCTTGGAGTACCCCCATCCCACCAGAGTGCAAATACATTTTAAAGGTGTTTTACCACACTAGGCGTCGTCTTATCAAAGTCCACTTGTTGCTCATTAAATGCATCTGTAAAAGTTTTCCAATTAACATAATCTCTTAAACTGGTTAACATCATTTTAAAAAATGCCATAAACTTGAGTCTCATTTTTCAGTTTCTTCAACATCACACTCCTGCCACACACATCTTCTCATGCAAAGTTGTTATAACAGTAAAAACATACATATGAAAATCAAACAGCCAGTAAAGCATACAATTTGCAAGTCTTCAAAAAGCAAACTATCTAGTGTGCTGGTACATAACATCTCCAACAAAAATATGTGGCAAATCTACTGATACACAGAAAACAAAAAGTTTCAGAAACACTACAAAAAAGCGGAAAATGTACTGAAACTGCTACAAGACAGAAAGTGATATTCAGTTACCATGCAGCCCAACAGGACAGACAGTAAAACCATCTGACTACAGCAGCTGATCCAAAGTACAGAAAAATGTGCTGAGTGCTTTGACTGCTTTAAGGCTCGCGGTAATTTTTTGGGATTCACTTTGAACTATGAAAAAGGATTCATAAAAACACATACGCAACATTAATTCAACATCTCTATGAATTTAACTCAAGATATTGATTCATTCAGCCTGTATTCTCAGTTGTTTGTAGTGTTTGTCAGAGAACAGCTAGCCTTTCTCTGGCTTCATTTTTAATGAATATATAAACTGGGTTTAGGTTGAGGACTGCAATAAATTTTGTGTCTGAAAATGTTTGTGCTAGATCAGGAATCTAGCACAAACATGAATGAATGAATGTAAACATAGTGTTCAAGGTTCTTAAAACTAGTTAGTTAGAATTACCCATCTTAGAAGAATATGAAGAGTTAAATTGATGTAAGAGGTTGAATTCATCTAATTTATCTAGTTATTAAACTATTTAAATTACTTTTAAGATTGTTCTTAAAATACATTCAAAAATCTTTCAACTAGTTAGGCAGTTCATTTTATCAGAGTGATAAAGTGTTTGCCTCCACTGATTGCCATAATGCTATTCATGTGTTATAGATTTACTGGGCTTGATATTTGATCTCATATCTTCCCATAATATACACATAACACCAGCTTGAACGTAATTCTCTGTTTTTTAATCTATTACCCAAAAAGCCTCTGGGCTGAGGTAACAGTGGCGAAACATCAAGTTTTCCCCTGATCTACATGGATATTTAATGGCTATAAATTCAGGGCCTTTTTCAATGATAAAAGAGGATAGTTATTGTAAAATGAGGCTCAAGTGAATCTGACTTCACATGTTAATTCGTGTTATCCAAGTTGGATTTCGATAAGTTGAACTTTAAAAAACCAAAACGCATCTCACACTCCCCAAAATGTCATTTCCGAGTTAAAAAAACGTTAGCAACTCAGCACAGGACTCTGCTTTTTCATAGACCAGCTGAAATTACATGTTCTGACAGGAAGGACATGTGAGTTACGCAGCCAGGAGCAGTGCAGTGTAGGACCAACAATCGTGCTGGGTCTGGGTTAAGAAAGGCAGTGAAATAAAGACACACCTAGAGTTCTGTTACCATAGTTAGCACCTGGCCACCGAGAGGCTGGACTGGAAGGGCTTTGATCACCTGTAACAATGTGGGCAGTCAAAGAAAAAAGGAAAGAAAAAAGGAAGGTGAAAAAGGAAGAGAGAAAAATCCATCAGAGGTGACACATTTGAGGTAGAACGAGTCCCAAAGAAAGAGCAAAAAGAAGAAAACAAACACATAAATAAGACCAAGCAATAAGAGGACAATTTCTTAAGATAACATTGAAAATGAGAATGAAAACTAGTCTTTGGTTTAATTTCAAGTATCAGGTTTTGGCCTGAATAAAAAGTAAAACATTTGATACTCACCACAACATTTTTTGTCATTATTTTGAAAAAGAAATCTGATGCTATTTTACACCAACATATGTTAAAATTTACTTTAGATGTTAAACTATTGGTTTCTGTTCTGTTATATCTCATATGCACAGGGAGAGGAGTAAATTTATTTAGACAAAAAGTTGTTTTTGCAGCTCATTTAGCAGTGTGTTGAAGAACAACAATCAAGAACAGGAACAATATGCACATATATTTGATGTGGATGACTGATATTATTTGAAAAATGTGTCAATCTGTGCAATGTAATAACTAAAACAGTGAGTAGTTTAACTTTATGGTGCTATTAAATGAGCTATTTACCATCTGAGTCTCAATCTCAAATTTAAAACCCAAAGCCTCCCGTCCATCTCATCACCCCCATTGGAGTGATGAGATATCTTATGTCAATATTGGCAGAATGGAGATGGCAGCACCTGTGGCTCAGCTGCTGAAATCTCGACTTGCATTTCATTTGACCCTCACGCTGCTGAAAAGTAGGACTCCCTTGAGCATGGCCCTTTCGTCAAGGCAGAGAGGAATACGCCAGGATTAAACCAAACTGGATTTGGTCATGTTTCTGAGAGATTTATGAATACAAAGAGGATCATACAGTTCTTCTGTCCTTCGATGGGACACTGATTGTTTATGGACTCTGTACTCATGTGGTTAAGAAAATTCTTGAAGCAAGCGAAAGTGGTTTGAGATGGTTCAATATTTGCATAGATGTGTAAAGTCAAAAGCCAATCACTTTGCAACTATAACGTTGAGCTGGACAGGAAACAGACTGACTGATAAGAGGTGATCCCACAGAGGAACTGCTTTCCTACCATTTCGTGGTGCCCGTTTTCGCCGATCACGGAAAGCTGCTCCAGACTGCAGAGCTTCCATTAGACTGTCCATCACGCCAGTTTCATCCCCTTCTGCAAGAGGACAGAAGAAGAGAAAAAACATGTTTGAATTGAAAAACATAATGCAGCCTTTACATTTGCAGATAATCACAAATACACTTGTGTGACTTGTTTATATGACTCAGATTTAACCTTTTGGCCTAAAAGTAACAAACTATTTATCCCAGGGAACTAACAGCCTGAAAACATCATAAATCATTGTAAAAACATGGTGGTGGCAGCATCATTCTGCGGGGATTCTTAGCAGGAGAGCTGGTTAAATACAGACAGAGCCAATTAGAGCAAATTCTTGAGGACCACTTGTTACGAACCCAAAAGTGCAGCTTGGCTGAAATTCCCATCATACAAAAAAGATGCAGATGACTCAGGCCTCTAAAGGTCAACCTCCAAAGGTCAACCAACTTGGTGGTAAAATGTGACCTAATTTTGACCTAACAGTAACACTATAAAAAAAACAGACATCTGTGCAACCAAACGTTTGAGGAGAAAAAGTCTCAGACTCTAAAAAACTCCATATAGTTTAACAACAGACGCATTATTGAAGTCTAAACCAATCAGGGATAGTGAAAGGCAGCTGTTCCTATATGCTTGATGCAAGCCAGGGTAGTTAGGTTAAAAGAATGGAAGTAGCGCAAATGAGGAGTGAAAATGAAAAGAACAACTGACTTTACAAACCATGATTTTGCTTCAATTTTAATTCCATAGTAAATAGAACCACACACATAGAAAGACATAAGGAAAAGCACAATTTGACCCACCAATTTATGAAGCTTGTTTATATAGAGAAAGATTGATCCATATAGCAATAATCTCGTTGAGAGTGGAATAACAGTTTCAAGACCAAAACAATGGAAAACAATGACACAAATTGGGGTCATTTTGTTGTTGACCCCAAATTATGTATTTCTTTTAAAATATTTTTTTTAAACAAAATCAACAACTTTTGTCTCATTAAAACACTTTTTTTTTTTTTGAGAAGTGAACTTAAACGTTTTAAATAAAAGCATATTAATGTGTTAGAATAGTTCAGACTTTCCTCTGTTTTTCTAAGGTTTACAAACTGATGTTCACAGATTCCCTCATCTAATCTGATTGAGTTTGGATGGAGAAGAACATTTCGCTGGAGCTACAGCAAAATGTGGAAATGCGCACCACACTTTTCAGATTTTTATCTTTAAACCATGTATCATTTTTCTTCTGCAATATCATAATATGTAATCTATCACAAAACACCCATTACTGTCTGTGGCTGAACCTAGGCAAAATGTGAAAAGTTCAAGGACTGTAAATAATTTTGCAACCATTTTCAGAGCAGCTACTTGAGTCTTGATGGACAGGGCCATCACTCAGTTCGGTTCGTCTGGTTTTTAGTAAACAGCTGTGGTGGAGTAAAACACACTTAGCTTAGGTTAGAGTTTAGCAGAGAGGGGTCTCAGGATAAAAGCATCCAGTGATGGTCATTGACAGATATTCTTTCTGTGGCTAGTGCAGGGGGAGCTAAGTGCTCTTTACAAAGATTTAGTGTGGAGCCGCTCAATACCGAGGCTTTCTATCATTGTTCAGTCAATGACACTGGGACTGGGCTCCGAAAAACACTCCCCCTGTCCACCATTTCATCTGTCCTGTGGATCCATGAAACCAGAGAAGTGAAGGCAGTCAGCATTAGAGAATTTCAAGAGCTGCAAGGCCAACGGCAGGACGAGATGCGGCCATACTGCGTGCATGAAGCTCCGCTACGCAGCTCAAAAATAAGCTTAGGCTTCATATCTGGGTCATTTATCTTTGCGCCCACATACTAATGAGCTAGAGGGGCAACCTTTTCATCATTCTGGTCTAGAATAGACATTATTTTAAAACTAGGATCATTAGGGTGAGTTATTGTGGACCTGGAGACTTGGCAATCAATTCTTTTGCATGTATGAGTAAACTGGCTCTTTCTGCAAGGTTTTACCATTGTTTTTTGCAACGTGCTTATTGCTGGAGGGAAAATTTTGTGGAGAAAAATTCTACATTCAGACTCAGCACTTTTACAGGAGTAATCAACCTTTTTTATTTGCGTGTGTGCTCAGTGATACAAGAGTCAGGCAATGGTAGTCAATTAAAATATAGGCATTTCCCAGTGGTGCAACTCTTTTTTTTCATTTATTTTTTACAAACAAATGTATATTGGCAATAAAACACAACTTGGTAAAGCATGCACTTCCATTGCAGGACGCAGCAATGAAAACACAAATTGAATTTGTCAAAAAATTAGCCGATTACATAACGCAAATAAAGGATTTTTTAAAACAAAAGCACAGTTTTGCTTTGGTCTTCCTAATTTGTTTGCTTATCAAGCACTTTGATCGTAAAAGAAGGTATTGATACTTTTGACACTGTGAGCAATTCCACAGCCTTGCACGAAAGTGAAATAAGCACTGATACGGACACTGATTTCCAAATAAAAACCAAAACTTTCATCCCAAATAAAGACTATGGACCACTGAGTAACAGGTCAGTCTTCTGTCTCCTTACTGACTAAACAATCCAAAATTTGGTTTTTCAGTAGGTGTAACTCCAAATCATTAGAAATATAGGCATAAAATATATTGCTGTTTTTAATATATATTTATCATTTTTTTTTTTTTAATTTAAATTTGTTATAATAATTGTCTTATTGATTATTTTATATTAATGCAGCAGCAGTACAACTACTGTATCCATCGGACTGAACGGTCTTCAAAACAATTTGGCTTTTTGATTAAGTTTTTTTTTTTTTTTTATGAAGAGATGTGGCTACATTACAAAATTCCTAAATCTTATATTTTTGTCTAGTTTTTAGTGCATATATCTTTGTACATCTGAAATAAGACAAAACTTACAAGTAACTTTTCAGCAAGTTACAGGAGTTTATTGTAAGTGAATAATTCCTTAATATTGATATATATATATTTTTTTAAGTACTCATTCTACTAGCAAATAATTTCTATTTTAACTATACATTTTTCTCAAAGTGAAACAATCTGCCAGTGAAAGTTGTACTTGGTAAGATTTTGTGTTTTTGCTGTTTTTTCAGTCGGACCGCTTCAGAAGCCAATTCCATAAGTTTATTTACAAATTATTCTTAGACTCACATATGGGTAAAATATTTTACAGCAGCCGTACAGCTCCTTAAAAGAGGGATTTAATTAAAAATATGTGCACAGTTTGTGATGTCATCATAGAAGTTCAGAAGGGTTTGATTTTATCTTAAATAAATGCAGATTTCCAACAAAATAGCAAAACAAATAGAATGACTTGATCTAAAGGCAACAAACTGTATATAATATGATTTTATAAATGGTAGCTGGTCGCTTTAATGAAATTACACAATTTTTTTATTACTGTTGAAAGTAACATCTGCAGATGTTGCTTCTTTCTCCAGCTACAAACCACCCAACCTGCAATCACTCTCAGAAGTAAAAAAAGACAGTACAACTAAGAATAGAAACATGTCTTATGCAAATTTTAAAAAAGCAACTCTTAAGACGCCCTCACTAATTTTACTCTCTATCTCATTTCCTCCCTTTCTTCCTCAAGTCCTTCCCAAGGGCTACTTTGAAATCAAAGAAGCCGTGTGCTGTGCTTAAAAGCAATCCCGATTAAATCAAGCTTAATTAGACCAGCTTTATCTGAACAAAACCAGAGCCGAGTAAAGTAGTGCTTATCTCAAATTGCAGCACTACACCTCAAATAGAGAGCGCGTTGGTTCAAAAAAACCGAGGAGAGCACAGGGTTCGCCTCCTGTGGACTTGAGGAACAATATGGCGAATGCTTTGCACTTCTAGAACTATATCGGCTCCCAAGATCTTCAGCAGCTTGTCTGTATGTAGGCTAACAACGACAGATTCCGTGTTTGACAGAAGGCGGAACCTGTTAACGCCAGGTAAACATTCATCTCCAACAACTGTGCTACAAGAAACTTCTTGACAGCTCCTTCTTCACGTAGACCCCAACATCACAGGGGGCGCCTGACACTTTGATCAATTTGTCCTACTTCCAGCTTAACTTCAGCACAATTCATCATTCGTAATGGCCGGGACTTTGGAGCCCTGCTAGACTGAGGTTCAGGGGGAAGAAAGTCTGCAGACAAGAAGAGCCAAAATGACTAAAATTGGAAGCTCACTCCCTGGTTACATCTCTGATCTCAATTAACTATTCTCCCAAGTTGTCCAAAGCTTAAACTCAAGAAACTCACAAATGAGCTTCCAGAAGGTAAGAGCACACTCTGACACAGTAGTGTCTTTACAGATTATTGATGAAATATACACAGACAAAGAATTTATTCAGTGTGTATGGAAATAAAACTCAGTACTATTTGAGAACACTTATTCTGATAATCCTCAACTCAAGCTTTCCTAATTGCTTATTGCACCATGCCTACTTCAGCTGACATTTCTACTTTGTTCAAGCAATTTGCTCGTCTTATTTTGAGCTGGTAAACCTAAGACAAACAGTTGTCTCCCTCTTATTATCGGCTGCGCTACATTGCAAGATGAGGAATTACAGAAAAGCTAACCTTTTATACCTAGAGATCTTTCTCAAGAGGAGAGATTCCTCTCTGCTCACAGGAAATTGCTTTCTAAATGGGTTAAGATGGGCTAAGACCCAGGACATTGACAAACCCTTCCGGTGATGAAACACCTCGGCGGGGACCCGACGCCAGCAGGCCCGAGGTCGTTTAATGATCTTAATAAAGCTTGTGGAAATGTGGAAGACGGTTAATTTCTTAAACACTTAAACCTTTAATAGGAGAAATAAAACTCTAGGAAGCTTTACTGCTCTCAACGGTTCCATATCGTTCCCCGATGATCCTTTCACTTCCTTCCCATCCCGTACCTGGATGTCTGGTACCTTGACCGACAGCCTGCATGGAAAGCAACTGTGAGCCCGAGAGACTGGCTCACTGCAGCATATTTACAAGCAATACCATCACATTTTCTAATTAGGAGCTGTAACAAGAGCAATGTGCTCTCAGCTGGATTGCTATAAAA